CATGTAGTTTTACCAATCTCCTCCCTTTATTACTCCAGACTATATCTTACTTATAACATTTATCACTTACATTTTGGCTGGGATTTTAGTATCAGGGAATTTCCTTTCCAAGGTTTGCAGCTTTTTAAAAGTAAGTTAACCATAATTGCTAGAGCTGCTTTATGTTTTCATGCTAAGGAAACTTTTGTCTGTCACTTGGACTAAGCTTTCTACAAAACCTCTGTACTGTTGGTCTCACTGTCGCCGCAGTCTCTTTTCTTGTCTTCCTCTGTCTCTCATTCACACTTCCACACGTGTGTGTGTGTGTGTGTGTGTGTGTGTGTGTGTGTGTGTGTGTGTGTGTGTATATTACAGCCTTTGTCAGGCCTAATAGAAACAATCAGGTCTTGAAGCTCTTCCTTTGCTATTTTGCAGGGTGCCCAGAGAAATAACACCATATCCCCAAATTACCCAGTTCCTCCCTATCCAAACCTGCCTCAGGTGCCATGACACTGAAGGAAGCAGACAGTTGCAGTGTGTTAGTTTACTAGGGACTTAAAGGCAGAAGTGTGAGTCACAGCAAGACCTGGTGGGTACCCACAGTTTGGGTCAAAAAACAAGGATTTATATAATGGCCATGAAAAAAAAAACTTTATTCAAGCTAGAACGTACCTGTTTTAAATCCACTACAAGAAAGACGCAAATCACAGATGTGACCCTGTATTCATCGTAGACACCTTCAGATAATCATAATTGCAAATAGTTTCTTTAAGCAGTGGAACACTTAGCACAGTGCCCAATGCCTGGTGCTTTCAGTAGATCTTTAATGGGAAGATAGATAGGTGTGCCGCTGGTGGTACCTTCAGAACTTGGGCTTTGCAAGTCGGAAACTGAATGTTCACTCCTAGGTCCCTGCCCTTACTCCTGTACCCTGTGTTGTTATTAATGAGATTGAAATACTTTGTTTTTTTTTACACATGCCTACTTATACCAGGGGGGTTTCATTGATTCCCTCCCACATTTTATCAGTCTTACCCCCATCATTTTCCCTGCCCTCTGTCCCCCTTCCCAAAACAATTTCAGTAAGTTTCATTGCTCTGTTTTCATAATTGCAGACAATCTGTTTCAATTATGTTCAGCTTCCTTCATCCTTTTTGTTAGCCCAACCCCCTCCTGCCATGAAATGCCATTTCTAAGAAATTTATAGTAATATCAGAATTCATCTGACACTTGCTATACAATACGTCAGTGGTGGCATCTAACTTTGTTTTTCCCTTTGCAGCTGACTTTATTTTACAGGGGAGAATACTAGTCTTAGTGATATAGTTAAGGTTCAGACCCTGTTATATTTCATACCAAAACTGCTCCTTACCACTACAAAACTTTAAATAGTACAATTTTGTCCTAAAGAGAGCCAGACTAGCTGCTTGAGTCCTGGCTCTCTGACATCATTGTAGGAAAGCTAATTAACTTCTCCTTCATTTCTAAAATGTGTGTTGTCCTCAAAGTTGTTGGCTGTGTTGATGTATTCTTGACCAGTACTGGCAGTGTTCAATTTTTGTTTTTTAATTATGATAATTCATAGCTTCTTTATAGAAAGGATTTTGGTTGCCGGAAGTGTCTTAAAGGTCTTGCCTTTAATGACTATGTAGTCTGTTTAGGAAGACAAGAAAAGTACAGGTGAAACCTGATAAGTATATAATTAATGTTAAATGGAATGATAGAGACTACAATGCAAATCAAATAACTGAGAAATACAGTTTAAAATTTTTCTTTTCAAGTATATAGCAGCCTTTTAGGTTTCATGCCAGGCACTTTCTAGCATTTGGTTGGGTTATTACCAACTTTTCTCCTGGCTTTGCTCCTGTGTTTGTTTCTATATACCCTAGAATCTCTGGTCAGTCACTTCATTTAACAGCATCCCAAATTCCTTATTGCCATTTCTGTCTTTCCCCATTCCCACCTTGTAATGTTAGTGAAAATTGATACCATTGATTTTGGATTCCAACATCACCTGAGCTGTTAGTATACATGTATAATGATGAATATTCTAAACACCTGGGTGTTTTATCTTTTCTTACCATTAGTCATCATAATGGCCTGGCACTTTACAAGTAAAATAGAAGCTTCCAGCCTTCAACTAACTCTCCTTTAAGATCTTCTACAGGTATCAGATTTTTTTTTGTTTAGTCCTATAGCTTGAACTCAGGGCCTGGGTTCTGTCTCTGAGCCTCTCTGTGCTCAAGGGTAGTGCTCTACCACTTGAGCCACTTCTAGCCTTTTCTAAGTAGTTCATTGGAGATAAGAGTCTCAGGGGCTTTCCTGCGTGGGCTGGCTTTGAACCACAATCCTCAGATATTGAGATCCTGAGTAGCTAGGATTATAGGTGTAAGCCACTGATGCCCAGCTTTATATTTATTTGTTTGTTTTTGCTTTAAACATCTCATCAATTGCTCTTCTTAGTGGCAAAGTCCTTTTTATTTATTTTTAAAAAATTGGTCATGGTGCTTGAACTCAGGGCCTGGATGCTATCCCAGGGCTCTTTTTACTCAAAGCTAGCTAGTGCTCTACCACTTTGAGCCACAGTGCCACTTCCTGTTTTTTGACAGCTAATTGGAGATGAGTCTCATAGACTTTCTTGCCTAGGCTGCCTTTGAACCGCTACCCTCAGATCTTTGCCTCCTGAGTTGCTAGGATTACAGTTATGATCCACCACCACCTGGCATGGCTGTGCCCTTTTATAGCACAGTTGGACTCCAGTCACAGTCCTTCCTGCCTGCCTAAATCTCTCTTTCTTCCCTCCCTCTTTCCCTCCTTCCCTCCAAGAGTTCAATTAAATTGGGCACTATTGCTCCCTCCATCTTCCTCGCTCCCAGCCCCCACCAGCCCATCCTGTCCCCCAAGTGTTTAGCCCAGGTCCAGTGTTGTCTAGCACTGACATCTAAACCACATCCCCAGCTCCATTACTAGTCTTTTTCAGCTTCCATTTATAATTTTTCCCTGTTACTGCTTATTGGGTGTGTAATTTTGTTTTTTCCCTTAGCTTTGTCAGTTATCCTCCAGTGAAGCCCACCTTCACAGCCCAGACCCCTCCTTCACACTATAGGTGGTATTTCCTGGGATCTGTTGAAAATTCTCAACTCACAGGTACCAAGGGCTGGCATTTCCAACAGAAGGAATTAATACACGCTTCTTTCTCCCAAAAGATACAAAGCTCTTCTACTTTTTTCTGTCTTCTATTATCTTCTATCTCCTATTATCTTTTCATTGACAACATCTTTACTACTTTGCCTTGCCTTGTAGTCTTTTCTCTGTACTAAATAAAAAAGAAATATGTGTTGTTTTGAGTTCATTTAGTAAAGAGAAAGTAAAGGCTACTCAGTAGAACGAGTGGCGGCACCCCTGGTAACTGATTGTCCCATATTTAAGTGGTTTAGATCCTGTCAGGATTCTCCTTGCTTTCAGTGCAGATTGTGCAGGCAGCGTGTTCCTCTACAATGAATAAGAAAGCAGAAGGATGATGTGTGCCCCAGTTTGTAAAGGGGGTAGATTTTCTTCATGTCTTAAGTTTTTTCCCCCCAGATCTTGTAATATTTTTTTACTTGTGACCACTTTGTAATCATCTAATAAAGAGTGATGTTTGAATTATCTTCAACATGTATACTTAGTATTTAAGTTTACAGATGTCCAACTTTGAAGGCTGTTCAGAAGTTGACTTCCCTTCTTGCCAGCCTCATTCACTCACGTTACTATCTTACATTACAGGTTCAATTCCTGACTGCCATGTACTCATTGCAGGACCTTTGACAACACACTCAAAGTGATGTCAATAGGACTTTGAAGTGCTTAATTCATGACCTGGCACTCAGTAAACACAAGAAATACGAGTTCATTTGATTTTCTTGTGAGGGTACCTACTCAGCTGGAGTTATTTGTATATTTATTGACTCTGTAAAATATAAAGAATGGCATTTAAATTTAGTAAAAAAGTATTTTTGATGATGATCTTTGAAACACCTTTAATTAGGTGAGGGGAAAAGTCTCAACAGTTGGAATTTGGCTCACCCAGAATTGTTGGTTTGGTCTTACAGACCTTGCTTTGCCATATTGCTTAGCAAGGTAGCTAGGGGAAAAAATACACATACATTGAGCCTGTTTCTTCATACATATATTTCTTCATATGTAGTTTGTTCATGAAAGACTTAATATTGTGTTTTGTCAAAAAATTAAATAGGCTCCATTAAGTTTTATGTACTTAGCAACATCTTTTGGAGAATTATATTTATGTATAAGTGATAGGCATTTCTTAGTCCTCATCTAGTTCTGCTATTTTAAGATAGTATAATAAATTTGAATGCTTTGTTACAGCTTTTGTATTAAGTGGAAAACTGATTCTAATAGGAGTGGAAGAAAATGAGAGGAGGAACAAAATTAAATTAAATAATATAAAGCAACACTGGTAGTGTAAGGTTGGTTTTTGTTTATTCTAGAGGTTGTAATTGTGGTTTGATTCAAAAGATAAATTTCAAAGAGTGAAGTTGGGTTTTTGTTGTTGTTGTTTGCTTTTGTTTTTTGCCAGTCCTGGGGCTTCAAGTCAGGCCCTGGGCACTGTCCCTAAGCTTCTTTGGCTCAAGGCTAGCACTGTACTATTTGAGCCACAGCACCACTTTTAGCTTTTTCTTTTTATGTGGTATGAAGGAATTGAACCCACGGCTTCATGCATGTGAGGCAAGCACTCTCCCACTAAGCCACATTCCCAGCCCTGAAGAAATGTCCCCCCCCCCCCCCCCCCGCCCTGCCCAAGAACAGAGCTTATCGAGTTGGAAGATGAACAGTATTCCTTGTCCCATTGTTTAGTATTCTTCACATTTAACTCATGAATGTGTTTTTGCTTTGGTTTTTCCTTAGATTTGGTTGTTTAAAATATTCATCTCCACTACATTTATTGCAGAGCATAAGGAGGATAAAAGCTGGCATTTGGAATTTCACCCATACATGATGGTATTTATGTTTCATTTTAGGGAAGCAATGAGAAATTATTTAAAAGAAAGAGGAGATCAAACAGTACTGATTCTTCATGCAAAAGTTGCACAGAAGTCATATGGAAATGAAAAAAGGTAAAAGTACTTCTTGTGGTGGATAGTTGTATCTATCACATTAGTTGAAAATTACATATTTGTATTAATGTCTGAGGTTGGTTTCTGTTACTGGAGTAATGGAGAGAAGGTGGAATTCTGACCTTTAAAACTGAAGAGCAGGCCACCAGTGGCTCATACCTGTAATCCTAGCTACTCAACAGGCTGAGATCTGAGGATAGAGGTTCAAATCAAGCCTGGCAGAAAAGTCCATGAGATTCTTATCTCCAATTAACCACAAGAAAACGAAGTGGTGTCCTGATTCAAGGGTAGATCACTAGCCTTGAGCTGAAGAGCTCAGGAACAGTGCAAAGGCCCAGAGTTCAAACCCCAGGATCAACACAAAAAGAAAAGAACAACAACAAAAAAAACCTTGAAGGACTGGGCCCCTGTGTAGCCCAGGTTGGCCTCACACCTCTCGAGCCTCATGCTTTGGGCTCCTGGGTGCTAGGATTATACTTGATGGGATTTGTTTCTTAAATGGAATCAACAAAGAAACTTGAGACATACTCAAACCAGGACAATTTAGTAGAGATATGGCTAAGTAAGTTCTTGATTTCACAAAATTAAAACCACTCTGTGTGTTGGGGGATGGTGAGAGAGGGGGTGGAAGAGAGTCATGTCCCCCAAATATTTTAATGAAACATGAGCTCATTTACAAAGGTACTGTTTTTTGTGGGTTTCTATTGTTTGGTGTTTCGTTTGTGGTGATGGTAGGGTCTAACCCAGAATTTCAGGTTTGCTTTAGCAAGTGTTCTTTCACTGTGATACATCACAGACCTCAGATCATCATTTATAGCCAGCCCATTTGTTGTTGGAGGGGAGGCCTCAATAGGCATTTAATGTCCCTTCCCCTGCTTCAGCCCACTAACCAATATACCTAACATACAGCACTCTATTGTTTTTCCACTTGGTTTCTGGAACTTTCTTGTTAATAGTTTCTTGAGTCATTGTCTTTCAAATAGCATTGTTTGGGGTAAGCTTTACTAGATAAAAATGACCTGAGTTGAGGCTGAGGCAAAGGAAAAGAACCTAACCTTACTGAGAAAAGGAATGAAAATTCAGGTTTAGGTTGAATTGAAAGGAATGAATGGAATCCTAGAAATTACAGCATAAAGAAAGCTTTTAGTATTTACATAAGAGAAGGGGAAATATAATTACATAATTAATTTTCATATTAGAAGAAAATTGAAAAGAACTTTTCTTGATGTAGTCTAAATCTGAGCTGAGAAAACGGTAAAGCTGAAAAGTATTTATTAATATTTTTCAGGGGTGGGGGTGGCTGTCAGTTGTAAGGCTTGAACTTGGGTGCTGTCATTGAGCTTTTTTGCTCAAGGCTAGCACTCTACCATTTTAAGCCTTAGCACCACTTCCCATTTTCTGTAGTGAATTGGAAAGGTTAGAGTCTCAGGCTTTCTTGCATAGGCTGGCTTTGGACAGTGATCCTCAGATCTACCAAAAATGGAAAAGGAAAAGAAAGGAAAGCTTCCCCAAGCTAAAAAAGTAGAAAGTCCTTTTTTCTGAAGGAAATGTAGCATCAACTTTTTCCACTGATTAGTATGTAGCAATAGTGATACTGTAGAGACAGTCCCACAGCATTGAGACACTGAGACTGTGGTTCTCAAGTCATACTAAGAATTGTATTCATTGGAGTAACTGATATTCCAAAGTTCCAAAATATGGTCCTTTTAAACAGAGTAAGCATCAGAGGGTAGTGATTTTTGAGAAGGTACACAAATGATATAAATGACATGAGTTTGAGTTTGTCTAACCACACTTCTTGTATATATTGGGATGGACAAAAAGCCTTCAGCTAACATGTTTCCAAGATCTATTACTAGGATTCATGGGAATAGTTGTTGAAGTATATAAAATGAATAAAAATCTTATGTGTGGGCATATCACCACCAAGTGGCAGAGAGTAACATTGCCATGGACAAAATGAAAAAGGCAACATTGTTATTTAGGTCTGGATTACATAAGGGCTGGGCTTTGTACTTGGCCATGCAAGTGCTGTTCCACTTTAGCCACTCTTATAACCCTGAGTTTTGCTGGTTATTTTTGAAATAGGGCCTTCCTGCCTGCCTGCCTGCCTGCTTTCCTTCCTTCCTTCCTTCCTTCCTTCCTTCCTTCCTTCCTTCCTTCTTCCTTCCCTCCTTCCTTCCCTCCCTCCTTCCCTCCTTCCCTCCTTCCGTCCTTGTCCTTTTTCTTGTCCTGAGGCTTAAACTCAGGGCCTAGATGCACTACCTGAGCCTCTTTGTGCTCAAAGCTAGAGCTATATTCCTTGAGCTACAGCGCCACTTCCACCTTTTTCTGAGTAGTTTTTTGGAGATAAGAGTCTCATGGACTGTTCACGCTGCCTTCAAACTGGGATCCTCAGATCTTAGCCTCCTGAGTAGCTAGGATTACAGGCATGAGCTACCAGTTCCTGGTGAGTCTTGCTTTCTATGTGCTAAGAACCTGTGATATGCTCACTTTAGGCTTCTGTTCTGTCATTTCTGAGATTACAAATACACCCCACCATGACTGGTAACCTTCTGTGGAGATGGAGTTTTCCAGATTTTTCTGCCTGGGCTAGCTTTAAACTACATTTCTCCCAATCTCAGTCTCCAAGTAGTTAGGATTACAGGCTTGAGCCACCAATACCCAGGTTAATAGATTATTTTGTTAGTTTATTTTGTTTTTAAATGTAGCTTTTAAACTCTGTAAACTTTTCACTAAGAGCTTAGGACATACTGACCAAAGTAAGAACATTTCATACATAATTGTAGATACAAGTCTGCTAATTTTTATTAGGTTAATTGTGTGTTCTTTATATCCTCAGTCCCTTTAATTTTCTTTATGTATATTCCCTTTTTTATACATATGTTTATCTTTTATTTGATTGCTGTAGCAAAAGAAACCTGTGAAAGTGAAAATTTGCACTTGTGTTAATTTTTAATGACAACAATTGAAATATTTAGAAAGTGATTTCATCTGCACCCTACATAGTCTTGTATGTTCAGATCTGTTAGATCTACCAGGGTTTTGCTTTTGGGGGGTGGGTATCATGGCTTTTGTGAATAATTGTAGGGTTGATACACAAACACAGGGCTAGCCTATTTTCCACATTTATTAATGCTTGACAATCCCTGGATGACTGAGAAAAAGAATGTTTTATCTGCTTGGCTAATTTTATACTGTTTCATAAGCATTTTGTCACAATGCATCTGAGAAACCACCAGTACTCATTCTTTCATCATTTCAGGCCATGTTATTTTTCAGATATGAAATGAAAGTATATTTTGAGATAACTGAGATTTGGCTACCACATTTGGTATACTATCTAAAGCATAGCTCCTTGAATATTGTAGCTAATGTTTTAGTTTGCTAAGAAGTCTTACTATCAGTGCAAGTAAAATGCTAACTGGAGATGAGTTTCTAGAAGTGATGCCTTTACTATCTCTTGAGAATATGACAGTCGAGGTACTTGAGTCTGTGCCAGAATAAGCATTGGGTAGTTCCCAGCATTAAAAGCCAGAAAGACTTAAATTGAACCAATTCCAAAATGAGTCTTGCTAATCTAGACATTCTTCCAAACTTGGAGTAACCTGGAGGTAGGCCTACTACTGTGACTATGACCTTTATATCCATGGCCTCAGTGCAAGCCTACAGACAATAGAGCTGCACTTCTCTTTTAGTTTAAATAAATACAAAGTCTACAGAGGTTTCCCTTCTTACTCACCTGGTCTGTAGGGCCCACTGGGTCTGGCTCCATCTGTTGACCCAGAATTCTGGTTTGTTTATGTCCCCACTATTGGTCGTAGTTCTAACCACAGAGCCTTTGCACTTGATCTTCCTCTACTCACATGCTTTACCCAAATGGCTTTAAATGGTAGCTTAAGGATGATTTCCCTGGCTTCCCCGTGTGGTTCATCTTTCAAGTATTCCATTCCTGCTTTATTATTTCCCTCAGGGAACACTAGCTAACAAAGTGTATATACTATTTGAATTATTTTTAAATGGTGCCTCTTATTGGAGTATAAATTCCTTAAGGAATTTTGTCTGTATTACTGTAATCCTGTATATGTATATATACATATGTATATTCTAGAGATACCTAGAAGAACTAATAACTACTAAATAAACCCTGCTCTCTTCTCAAAAAATTACCTCTGGCTCCAGTTGAGGAAAGACAGTGCCATTATATTTTGAATCAGTCAGTAACTGCTGCAGTAGATACTCAGGGGACAGTGACAAGAAGCCCATTCTGCTTACCTTCAGAAAGGCCTGAGAGTCACCAACATCTTGGTTTGGATTTCATATCAAATCAAATCAAGTTTGCTTCTATGGATGGGTATGCTTTCACATGTCTGACCACCCCTGCTGTTTTCTTAATTATAGCACACACCAGTGGCTGGTTGTCATTTCATTTAAACTATTTATTTATTTATTTTTTTTTTTGGTCGTGGGGCTTGAACTCAAGGCATGGGTGTTGTCCCTGAGCTTTTTCCATTTAAGGCTAGTGCTCTACTATTTGGAGCTACAGTGCCATTTCTGGTTTTTTAGTGGTTAATTAGAGATATGAGTCTCAGACGTCCCTGCCTTGGCTAGCTTCGAACTGCAATCCTCAGATCTCAGCCTTCTGAGTAGCTAGGATTACTGCCATGAGCCACTGGTGCCCAGCTTAAATTATTATTTTTTTTAACAGTAGGATCAAGAGAATTAAGAAATATTTTTTTCAAATTCCTAACTATAAAAAATAGTACAGCCGTGTGCCAGTGGCTCACACCTGTAATCCTAACTACTGTGGAGGCTGAGATCTGAGAATCTTGGTTCAAAGCCAGCCTGGGCAGGAAAAGCTATGAAACTCTTATCTCCAATAAATCACCAGAAAACCAGAAGTGGTGCTGTGGCTCAAGTGGTAGAGCACTAGCCTTGAGCTGAAGAGCTGAGGTACAGCGCTCAGGTCAAGTTCAAGCCCCATGATCCTCCCTACCACCCCCTCTCCCCCAACTCCAAAAAAATTAGTATGAATTACTATGAGGGCCTTTCTTTTAAGAAAGAGAAGGAACCCAGTTCTGTGAGTAATTAAAGGATATTCATACTGGTTTATAATATTACCTAGCTTCTGTAGGAATTTTGAAGTACACCACCAATGTGCCATAAGTCATTTAGTGTATGTACATGTTAGCAGGTATGACTGGAAGTAAGTGAATTATATCCTGCATATCAACTAATTTAATATATGTAAAATATGGGGCTTGAACTTGGCTTTGGAATCTTTAAAAATTGTTAGATAAGGAAGTCACTTTAGGTGGGTAGAATTTATGAGGGTGTTTGTTAGCAACTAGCAAAGCAAGTATGTGCTCAAAGAATAGTGTCTTGATTCCTTTAACATAAAAGATCTCTAGGCATTTACAGTGCATCAAGGATTTAGAGGGTTAGAGACACAAAGCAGTGTGCTCTCATAGAACTCCCACCACAATAATCCATTTTCCTGTTACTTTATACATATTTTGAAATATTGAGTGCTTTAATGCTACTTTCCAGGTTAAATACCAAGTAAGATTAAGTATAATATGTGTAACAAGAGTAGCATTATATGTTGAGTAGATATTAAGTATCAATCATGAGTCTAGTGGTCTATTATTTTAATTTAAATTTTTATTATTATTATGAAGATGAGATGCAAAGGAGTTATATAAGTTGAGTAAAGAGTGTGTGTGTGTGCGTGTGTGTGCGTGCATGCGTGCGCGTTTGCTGGTTGTGGTGCTTGAACTCAAGGCTAATGCTCTACCACTTTGAATTACAGCACCACTTCTGGTTTTTGAATGGGTAATTGGAGTTGAGAGTCTCACAGGGACTTTTCTGCCCGAGCTGGCTTCAAACCAGTCCTCAAATCTCAGCCTCATGAGTAGATAGGATTATGTGAGCCGCCAGCATCTGGCCATAAGGAGTATATAAAATGAACTTTACAACTTTGGGGGGGGGGGAGATCGGGTAGAGTAGGGGAGGATGGGAAGGGGAAACAAAGGAAGAGGCAACAATGCTTGATAAGAACTGTATTCATTATTTTGCCCATGTAATTGTAACCCCTCTGTACAGTATTTTCACAATTAAAAAAAAAAAGAAATTCTACCTCAAAACTTTTACCCAAACAAATTCAAAAGTTTTGATTCTTGGGCTGGGAATGTGACTTAAGTGGTAAAATGCTTGCCTGGCATGCATAAAATTGTGGGTTCGATTCCTCAGTACCAAATAAGTAGAAAAATCTGGAGGTGGCGCAAGTGGTAGAGTTCTAGCATTGAACAAAAGGTGCTCAGGGGCACCTCCTAGGCCCTGAGTTCAAGCCCCAGGACTGCCCCCCCCCAAAAAAAAAATGTTTGATTCTTGTCCTATAGATGGATTCAATTGCATTGTAATATTTTTTGTAGGAATTCAGGGCCTTTCGATATGGTTGTGTAGTAGTGATAATGTTCAAGAAAATGAAATGTCTTGAATCTAATTGCTTTGTGTTTCTCAACCATTATTCAGGTTTTTTTGCCCTCCTCCTTGTGTATATCTTATGGGTAGTGGATGGAAGAAAAAAAAAGAACAAATGGAACGTGATGGTTGTTCCGAACAAGAGTCTCAACCATGTGCATTTATTGGGATAGGTAATAGTGACCAAGAAATGCAGCAACTGAACTTGGAAGGAAAGGTAAATGAAGGCTGCTGTTCCCTGTGAGAAGGACTTGTGTGGTATCAGAATGCAGTTGACCTTCATTTTTGTTGTTGTTATTGTTTGTTGGTTTAAAACCATGGCCATGAGTCACAATGTCTGTCTAATCTGTCTATATTATTTTTAAGTAGTTGTATTTACGGAGGGGCATTTATCACAATTTCTTGAATATATAATCTAAAATCAGAAACCCACCTTTTAAATAGCTGGGATCTATAGCTGTGAACCTATGCTCTTGACATCTAGAGGTGGCACATAGGAAACCTGCACAGCTTGCTAGGTGTTTTAGCAGCGTGGAAACCAGAGATTTGTGTTGGAAGCCACTGGTAAAGGTAGATAGCTAATCACGTCTGTGTGAAGAAACATGATACCCAAATGTCAGTGAGAATACACCTGTTGATAGTGATTTACTCAGCCTTCTTAATCTGTTTTCTGCTAGAAGCAGAGTCATAAACAAATTCTTAGAAGTGTTTATCTGGGTTGTAAAGATTGTTGCTTAACAATAGTACAGAACTATAACTTCTTGTTCTTTTTCCTCGTTTTCTCCTTCCTTCTCTTCCTCTTACTATATGCTGGTCCTGGGACTTGAACTTGGGGCCTGGGCCACAGCCAGCACTCTGCTACTTGAGCCACAGCTTCACTTATGGCTTTTGGGGGGGGGGTTAATTAGAGATAAGACTCTCAGACATTCCTACCTTGACTGTCTTTGAATCTTGATCCTCAGTTCTCAGTCTGAGGAGTAGTAAGATTGCAGGTGAGAGCCACCACTGCCAAACCAACTTACCTTTTATTGCTGCTAGTTTTTTCAAAAAATTTAGTGTGTGTGTGTGTGTGTGTGTGTGTGTGTGTGTGCGTGTGTGTGGGGGGGGGTCTGAGAGCCACCACTGCCAAACTAACTTACCTTTTATTCTTGCTAGTTTTTTTTTAAAAAAATTGCGTGCGTGCGTGCGTGCGTGTGTGTGTGTGTGTGTGTGTGTGTGTGTGTGTGTGTTCATTCGTCCTGAGGCTTGTTGCTCAAAATTAGCACTCCACTTCCAGCTTTTTTTTGGCTGTTAATTGAGATAACAGTCTCCACTAGCTTTCCTGTGTGAGCCGCCTTCAAATCACAGTCCTCAGATCTCAGCCTCCTGAGTAGTCAGGATTGATTACAGGCATGAACCACAACTACCTGGCTAAAACTTAATATTTTCTGAGTCCTATGGGATGGAGTTTTGTGGTTAATGTTTTAAAAATGACAATTCTAGTTATTATGTATTCAAAGTACTTTTATTAGAAATATTTTCTTATAAGGAGATTCGTATGTGATGCTATTTCTAAATAAATAGCCATGTATGTTGGTTTTATGGTTGAATCAGAGGACTAGGGAGGATTTAAAGCCATTGAGGTAGTACTATTTTGAAGTATCTTTGCTATTTGGTATTATAACTTGAATACTATAATTTCAGTTACCAAAACTGACATAATGATGTGGACATTTTCTTATACTTTTAATTTCAGTTTTTTTGTTTGTTTGTTTTTTTTGTCAGTTGTGGGGCCTGAACTCTGGGCCTGGGAACTGTCCCTCAGCTGTTCAGCTCAAGGCTAGCGCTTTACCACTTGAGCTACAGCGCCACTTCTGGCCTTTTCTGCTTATGTTGTGCTGAGGAATTGAACCCAGGGCCTCATGCGTGCTAGGCAAATACTCTACCACAGAGCCACTTTCCCAGACTTAATTTCAGTTCTTTTGGGTAATCCTTTTAGATGAATTTAACCATGTTTAAAGTATTGTTTTATAGCCTCTATTTTAGGGTATCCTATACTCAGGTCTAGTTAGTCTGGTTTCATTTTGAAGCCAGTGTTATTACAACTTTGTTTTTCTTTCACAGAACTATTGCACAGCCAAAACATTGTACATATCTGATTCAGACAAAAGAAAACACTTCATGTTGTCTGTAAAGATGTTCTATGGCAACAGTGATGACATTGGCGTGTTCCTCAGCAAGAGGATAAAAGTCATCTCCAAACCTTCCAAAAAGAAGCAGTCACTGAAAAATGCTGACTGTATGTATGCTCGAGTTCTCTCACTTATCCTCAGCTCTCATCATGAGTTAGTAATAACAAACTTGTAAAAATTAAAATGCTGCCTTTTCAGTAACAATTCATTTGTAACTGGTTTCATATCCCTTATGCTCATTTTAAATTTTCATATTGAAAAAATGTACTGTACGTGGTCTAATGAAGTGATCAAGTTTCCTGAGGTTTTCATTCACTTAATTAAAATTACGTTTAAAGTTGAATTTGTACTGTTCCTGGGGCATTTGGGAAAATAGTGGGACTTTTTTCCTTCAGGAAAGTGACTAGGTGGGAAATGATCTTAGCATTCTGTGTGTTGGGCTAGTAATGCTGCCATTTCTCATTCCACGAAGAACTGATCTACCTAGAAGGTCACAAGTACCCCTGGAAAGAAACTTCAAACAGGCTTCAGATAGCTAGCCTGAGAGAAACTAAACCAATTTTTAAATAATGGTTGCCCAGAATAGACTAATCTTATCAACAGAGTTTTTTGAATACTAAAATATACACTGTTTGAAATACACATTTCAACACCTACACATTTATTGTTCTTTAAAATTTATATATAAAAAGCATAAATTACCAATGTCTTGTATTCAGTCTATTTCCAATTCAGAATGCAGAGATGTTTTGTTTTGCCTGTAACTGGGGTTTCAACTCAAGGCCTTTATATTCCCTAACACTTAAGTACTCCGTTTTCTTTTTTGTAATTTGTGATTTTGTGTGTGTGTGTGTGTTTTTTGTTTTTTAAAACACTTCTGCTTGTGTCTTGATGGTAGAGCATCACTTTTAGGGTATTTTCCTATTTACATAAATGTGTTTTGCACATCTAAAGTAAGTCTTAAAATACTTAATTATATATATATATATTTGTATATATATACATACACACAACCTATATATATGTATAGAGAGAGAGATGAAAATAAAGAATTGTCTCAGCAAGGCAAAATTTACTTCTGTGCAGAACAGTGTACCATCAGCCAAAAATCTGGTAAGCAAGCACAGAGAACAGGCAGTCTGCTCTGCTATTTATTCCTAATGCAACAGGCCCAGCCCCTCTGGCTCAGATTGGTTGAGCTTGGGTTTCCCATCTGTTCACAATTGGCTAGTTGAATGGGGTAAAATATATTTCCATATGTGATTTTGAAATAAGATTAACAGTTCATGAGTAATCCCAAACTATATTTCTTGAACACTCTGGGGCATGTTGTAATTAATTCCATCTTGAAAAGAAACCAGTTTAAGACAAAAACCTTACATTTTACAAATCCTTTCTTATCCCAAGGCAGTACCTCATAACAAGAGCCAAGCCACCAGGCTAAAGAAGGAACTCTTAAGCAATACACTTAGAAAAGATAGTTTTTCTCACATTTAACAAATTTTATTTTATATTGTAAATAGACTATAAGCTGTTTTACATGCATTATAATATTTCAGAGTATTTAAAAGATAGCAGAATCTCTAAAATCATAATATATAGTCACAATCAACCTTAGTAAAAATTCTTCTACAATTTTTCCTATACATATGTTCTATAGGATTGAATGCAAGCATGTGGAGTCATTGTGCACACATGCCTAATCTAACCACACTATGTAGAGTGATTTATAGTCTGCTTTTTCACTCAAATATTTTCTTATCAGTGCATCTAGGTATACATAATTTCAGTGGGTGAATGGTCTTATAAATTATTTGATCACATTCATACTATTAAACATTTATTGTAAAGATAATTTTCCTTCTAATGATCAGCATTATATTAGGCAGTTTTTAGCTTAAAGGGACTTTTTTCTTTCTTTTTTTTCTTTTCTTTTTCTTTTTTTTTTTACATTTGGATGCTGGTCCTGGGACTTAAACTCAGGGCTTACACATGTATTTTAGCTTTTTTGCTCAAGGCTAGTAACACTCTATCACTTGAGTTAGAACTCCACTCCTGGCTTTATTGGTGGTTATTTGGAAATAAGAGTCTCATGAACTTTTGTGACTGGGCTGGCTTCAAACTGTATTCCTCAGATCTTAGCATCCTGAGCGATTAGGATTATAGGCATGAGCCATTTGTGCCAAGCTTTTCAAATGACAGTTAAGACACTATTTTAGTAGGTTTATTCCTAAGAAATACCTTGACTTTTTTTTTTCATTTTGCTATCATATGTGTTCTTTCATGAAAGGTTGTAGCATTTGTCTCAGAATCTATTCCTTGTTACATTTAAATAAAAAAAAATTTAACCCACCAAAGCAGAAGTCCTTTCTTGTTTGGCCCCTGCCACAATCCGCTAAATAGGAGCCATTTTTTTCTTTGCAGTATGCATTGCCTCAGGAACAAAGGTGGCTTTGTTTAATCGACTTCGATCCCAGACAGTTAGTACCAGATACTTGCATGTAGAAGGAGGCAATTTCCATGCCAGTTCACAGCAGTGGGGAGCATTTTATATTCATCTCTGTGAGTACACAAATGTTTTTATTATAATTGTTATTTGAGTTTTATTTTCCCAAGAAGACAATAAATTATAGAAGATGCTAATTTGATCCCTTTTCTACCTACTGCAGTGGATGATGATGAATCGGAAGGAGAAGAATTCACAGTCCGAGATGGTTACATCCACTATGGACAAACAGTCAAGCTTGTGTGCTCAGTTACAGGCATGGCGCTCCCAAGATTGGTAAGTCTCCACTCCCTTGGTTAGTGTAGGTAAAAATTGGTTCCTAAAAGAGGAAATACTAAAATGCACCTTGATGTTTATATCATTTTTAAAAAGTGATGCCAATTATCCCTGTAACTGATTGTTCTCCCTTATCTCTGAAGTTCTTTAGGAAATTAGCTGTTTTTATAAAACACATTATTTCTAATTAATTTTTCCTTTTAGGTTGTATATCTGAACATATCCAGTAGATGGCACTGTAAATTTTTCCTCCTTTTACTGATGCAGATACACTACTTTTTATCTTATCTGCAGTATCCAAATAAAAGACCAGTTTTTTGTTTGTTTTCTTTCTTTCTTTTGTTTTTTTTTTTTTTTTTGTTGTTGGTCCTGGGGGCTGAACTCTGGGCCTGGGCCCTGTCCCTCAGCTCTTCAGCTCAAGACCAGCGCCCTACTACTTGAGCCACAGCACCACTTCTGGCTTTTTTTCTGTTTATGTGGTGCTGAGGAATCAAACCCAGGGCCTCATGCATGCAAAGCAAGCACTCTACCACTGAGCCAACTTCTTAGCACAAGGACCAGGTCTTTAAAAGCATAAAAATCTTATCTACATAAGCATAGTTTATATTACACTAACAGATTTATTAATGATTAAATAAAGTGGGTATTTTTTACTTTGGGAGAGAAGTTTAGGATTTGGGGGCTTTTTGTTCTCTAGACCTTAAAACTGTAAACATAGAAACTTTCTCAGTAAAATGAAAACGAAAGTCCTTAGAATTCTACCCCTGTCCCATTTTTCCTTTGTTTGTTTTGAAATAGTATCATTTAACTGCATTAAAACAACCAGGATTTATGGGTAAGTGTGCTTTAAGGGCAGGTGGAAGAATATTTAGTATGCTATTTGTCAACATGTTTTTAATGTATCTCTGGTGAACTATTTCAGTGATTTATATGTTTTGAGGCTATTTCAGGAGAAGCTGAGTATATAGTCATCTTTTTTGTGTATATGTATATATGTATATATACACCTAAATATGGTTATATAGGGTGATTTATTTCCCATTTTAGTTTAGTAAGCTAAAATGTGTAAAGTGTAGTATTAATCTGTAAAGCCTTGAATTTGGAACAGATTCCAATATGAAGTATAAAGGTAGGGAAAGGTATCTGTTGACATGGAGAGAAAGGAGCAAAACGCACTCACTGCTTCCTACTTGCTGGGTGAATGGTCTCCTGTTCACCAATGCTGGTTCACTTTGTTCATACTACAAAAGCACCTGGCATAGGCTTACTAAGTGTTTTCATGTAGTTTCACATCAAGCACAGTCATCTGCTTGACAGTCACTTTTATTTACTTTTCTTTCTATACTGAAAACTCTGTAGCTCTCATAAAAATATTACAATTAAGAAGTTTATATAGAAAATATATTGGAAAAACTTGCAATACCTTCTAGAAATTCCATAACTGAATTGTGACTAGTTTCCCCCAAATCATTGGTAGATTTTAGATGTCTCCACTCCTCAGCCTCTTGAACTACAGCTATACACAGCAATAACAGCAACATTCTGTAGCTTTCATAATCATTTTTAAAGAGATTATCATTATCACAGAAATGAAGGGAAGAAGGGTGAGCATGTGTCACTATATTCAATGTATGTAAAAAATGTATGTAACTTCAGGGTAGGGATGAGAGGAGGGGAAAAATAGGGGGAGAACGAAGAAGGGGTGTTATTGATCAAGAAGTATAACTATAACCTGACTTATGAAATTGTAATCCCTTTGTACAACTATTTAATAATTGAAAAGATGATCATTTATTGAAAGTTGCTTTTCATGCCTCTGAGAATATTAACCTTGTTGGAAAGCTTTGCTGAGAGAACACCGTCCCTCTGAGAATGAGTTTCAATGGGATAATTGTCACAGTACAAATTGTGTTTTGAAGGATGTTCTCAAAAAAGGTCTTGTGTGTACAGGACTGGCCAACTAACATGAATCCTGTTACCTACTTGCAACATGTGTTTAGTTGAAGCTAGGGGTAAAAGTATCTGAGATTTACGTCTTGCGTGTTACAGTTCTGTTCTTCAGGTGTCACCCATGCAGCAAAAGTGCACTAATTTCTACTGTCCACTCTGGCATACAGAGAGTATATATCACTGCATTTGGTTGAACAGTCTAGTAACACAAACCCAGACAATACTGATCTGCCTTTTAGCAGATACAGTAGTAGGTATATAGATAAGTTATTTCCTGTCTTTAATATATTCCAATATTACCTGTCTACAAAAACAAGCCAGTTGGAATAACACCTGATGGTTTCTGAAAGTACAGCTTACATACCTAAGTTGTAAGGATTTTGGTAATTACTTACGTACTCAAATTTCTTATCTTAATAATTAGAAATCATAATGGGCTCTATGGACAGCAGTGTCTGTGCCTCAAGAACTGTAGTGCAGTTCCAGGCCGCACGTGGCCTGTGTTTGCCCTGTGCTGTAGCAGCTGGCGGAGCACCATGAGGGAAGCTGCGCACGAGTGCTGGAGAGAACCATGACTTCCGGGGTGGAGGTGGTCAGCCAGTGCGCCTGAGCTCTTCGGGCAGCTTTAGACCTACACCAGTTACTCTCTACAAACCAGACTTCATTGGGTTGTTAAATCCCATGAAGCTTTAAGCATTGAACTGAAGCATTTTGCTTGTGTTTAGTCTCACAGACTATAGTAGAATCTACAATTGCTAAAAGTGTAACCTCTCCTTTTAATTTATGTTAAGATTGGTAAGATTCTAAATATTCCAACTAAAAACCCACAACACAAAATAATGTAAATATGAAGAATACTACCTAAAGTTTGAGGCTTAGCTGAAACAAAATGATCTTGGAACAGAAAGGAAATGTGAATCAAGTAGTAAAACCAGTAACATTGTGCAATATTAACGATATTTAATGCTAATTGCAACAGTGTTATTAGCCTTTTTAGATGGCAGACTCCTCCACCCCCCAACTCTGAGCAGTTTGCCTAACCATTCTGAACTCATTTCCTGGTCTGCAAACCTTATTCTAATTCCATTCTCTTTAAGATGTAAATAATTATATTTAAATGACTGCTGTGACTGACGTACCCGTGATAGCCTTATAGGGTGTTTTTCTTGAAGTTGGAATATTTGTGTTATTTCAAAGAACATAAGTAGTTACAACTTAATATATGGAACATAAATATCACCTGGGAATTTGTTAGAAACACAAGCTTATCAGGCCCCAAATGAGCCCCAAGCAGTAGATGAGAACTTGAGAACTCCCAATGAATTATGTGTGCATTAGTGTTTGAACACCACTGGTCTAGAAAACAAGTGCTTCTGGCCCTTCCCCTACTCCTCAGGTGTTGTAGAAATGGGTAAACGATCCCTGTATTTTGATGCTTTTCATAATATCTAAAAGGATGTGTGTGCACTCTCATGTGCCAGTCCTTAGGGCCTGGGTGCTGTCCCTGAGTGTCTTTGCTCAAGAGTAGTACTGTACTCTTGGGGATAGAGAAAAGAGTCCCACAGACTTTCTTGCCCAGGCTGACTTCTAACCAGAATCCTCAGACCTCAGCCACCTGAGTAGTTAGGATTACTGGCATGAGCCACTGGGAATCCACCTTCTAAAAGGATTTTTTAATTCCTAGCCTTATTGTTTGTAAATGTGTTTCTGTATGTAAGCAATTCTTGTCCACATTGTGAGTAGGATATGCTGACCAGGTGGTTAAGAATCTTAAGTGCAGCAGAGAGGATGGGCCTTGAGTTATAAATTTGGGAGATACCAACCTATAGTGTAGCAAAGTATACCTTATGAAGGTATATATATTATTAATTAAACATATGCTATGTACTATACTCTTGACAGTGAAAAATAAAACCTTTCCATGTTTAGATGACCTTTAAATTTTTAATTGTTGAAATATAGATAATTAGGAAAGTTGACAAGCAGACAGCATTACTGGATGCAGATGATCCTGTGTCACAACTCCACAAATGCGCATTTTACCTTAAGGATACAGAAAGAATGTACTTGTGCCTTTCTCAAGAAAGAATAATACAATTTCAGGTATGTTTTGAAGTTACTGGTAAAAATCTAAAATGTAAACTGGATTGGGGTTGTTGCTTATTAATACAGCATTTTATTAATGGTATATTTAAGATCCTCTTTCATTCCCCAGTGCTGCAAATATATTGATTTTTTTTTTTTTTTTTGGGTCGGTCATGGGGCTTGAACTCTAGGCCTGGGCGCTGTCCCTCAGCTCTTCAGTTCAAGGCAAGCGCTCTACCACTTGAGTTACAGCGCCACTTCTGGTTTTCTGGTGGTTTATTAGAGATAGGAGTCTCACGGTCTCTCCTGCCTGGGCTGGCTTTGAACCATGATCCTCAGATCTCAGCCTCCTGAGTAGCTAGGATTACAGGCGTGAGCCACCAGTGCCCGGCTCATTGATTTTTTTTCAGTAATGAAATATGCTACAAATCAGTGGACTAGCAGCTTACGGAAATAAGAAATTGTTATGAGCTATTAATTTATGCAAATGTGTGAAGCTATGCTCATCTATTACTCTTTTGGTCCCATGTTCTTTAATACACAGAGTCCTCCCATGTGCCAATGATCCTTTGTCAGGGGAGAACTCAAACTGTGAAATGTTCTTAGAAACAAAGTTTTCATCGAATGTCAGGATTCTTAACCTGGAGTACAGAGAGTGGGAGAATGTTTCACAGTTGAACTCTGATGTTGAATGAATCTTCTGAAATTATGAGCATGTACTATGTAAGACAAAGACCTCAGAAGATTCAGAGTTTTAGCCAGCCTTACAGGAGGGTCTCCCATGATAGTGACGATGGCATGATTCAAATCTAATCCTTACTCAAAGGCTTTAAGGGCACATTTATGACATGGGTAGATAATTTAATAGGCTAGTTACAGTTTCATGACAAACTCCTATACCAGAGCGATAGCTGTAGACTGAACTAATGGGTATGCTCAGTCTTGGTCCATAGATTTCTTACTTAGGGGTAGGAGGTTGTCAGTTGAGATTTGGTTTCTTCTTGTGATGTGTGCATAAACTATAATAGTTTCCCATAAACTCTTTTGAGTTAATATACATTTATAGCAACTGATCTCATGAATGAAATTATATTGATAATGGTTAAATATTGATTATTTAATGTGTTACTAAACATTTGTCTTATAACAAGAACTACTGTGGTCTTTCATATAAATACTCTCGTTTACCTTTTCTTTAGGGATTGTCAAAGCAGCATACTTTAAGTTTACAGGTTTATTTATTTGTGCCATCCTTAGGCTTTTTTTTTCTTTTTTAAATATTTAAGCTTTTGTTCAAAACTAACATTCTACCACTTGATCCACTTCTGGCTTTTCTGGTGGATCATTGGCAATAAGAGTCTAACAGACTTACTGTCCAAGCCAAGGTCCTCAGAACTCCCATCTCCTAAGTAGCTACGATTACAGGCATGAGCCTCTGGTTCCTGGCAAGTCTACAGATTTTTTTTTTTTAACTCTTCCTTACTAACTCAAGTCTGTAATGTTATTTGATAAATTCTCTTATACTGTAATGTCATGTGTATAAAACTCTTGTTTCTGAATATTCTGTCTTCTCACAAAGGCCACTCCATGTCCAAAAGAACCAAATAAAGAGATGATAAATGACGGAGCTTCCTGGACAATCATTAGCACAGATAAGGCAGAGTATACATTTTATGAGGGAATGGGGCCAGTTCTAGCCCCGGTCACCCCTGTGCCTGTTGTGGAGAGCCTTCAGGTGAGACCAGGCCCCAACTCCTCAGCCATGACTAACAAATTATTTCATAGTAACTTTGATTGTTCTTTAGTTATTGTGTGATCTGGGTACTTACATTGACATCAACTTGTATGTTACCTTGAATATTTTTAGGCAGCTTTGTGATCATGCATTTAAAAGAAACATTTTGCAAATGTAAACTTTACACACTTTCACAAATAAAAGTTGAATGTGTACTTTAGTAAAAAATGAAAAGTTGTCTTAATGATGTGATTTTCTGTGAATTGCAGTTGAATGGCGGCGGGGACGTAGCAATGCTTGAACTCACAGGACAAAACTTCACTCCAAACTTACGAGTGTGGTTTGGGGATGTAGAAGCCGAAACAATGTACAGGTACTGGATCAAACCTTTTACGTCATCCAGAGGTTTTGAGGGGTGTGAGTGAGTCCCTGAGGTTCTTCCTGACATCCATTACAATGTATTAAGCAACTTGTTAGAAGACTTTTTTCTGAAAATGTACTTTGTTTTCTAAAGTGTTTCTAAGTGACTTCTTTTTTCTCCTCAGATGTGGAGAGAGTATGCTCTGTGTTGTCCCAGACATTTCTGCATTCCGAGAAGGTTGGAGATGGGTCCGACAGCCAGTCCAGGTTCCAGTAACTTTGGTCCGCAATGATGGAATCATTTATTCCACCAGCCTTACCTTTACCTACACCCCAGAACCAGGGCCGCGGCCCCACTGCAGTGCGGCAGGGGCGATCCTTCGAGCCAACTCAAGCCAAGTGCCGCCTAACGAATCAAACAGCAACAGCGAGGGAAGTTACACAAATGCCAGCACAAACTCAACCAGTGTCACATCGTCTACAGCAACAGTGGTGTCCTAACTACCGTCTTTTTGTTAGGACTTCAACTGACTCAAGTGCGGCAAAAAAAAGTTGACACACAAAAAAGAACAATGTTTTGTGGCTTCTTGGGGAAACTTCATACCAGGTGATAGATGCTATTAAATAAAAAACCCTGTTACCTGCAAGTGCTGATGTGAAACACAGAAGCCACAGTAAAACAAAAATATCAACATGTACAAACTATTGGAAACCAAGTTTTTCAGCTTTTTTTCCCTCACAGTGTTGTTTGGTTGGTTTTTGTTTGGTTTTGTTTAAATGGGCAAGAAATAGATGTGTGGCTGGAATAAAAGTCAAGCAAACTAGAAGACACAAATCTAACCTAGTTTTTATGGACCAAGGAACTTGTATAAGCTTTAGTAAAAGGTACATTTTCACCATACCTTTTTTATATCACAGTACATAGTACGCCTTGTTACCAAATAGGTTGTTCTCCCCTCCCCTTGAGCTTTTGCTCTAAAGTACATTCAGGTTCTGAGCCTGACCAAGCTTGTTTAATCAAATTACCTACACTTCCAGGTTCTTTTTGGTCTAAGGCTGGAACTTTTTTTTTTAAGCTGAAGTCTTGTGACTTTTCATGAATTGAAATGGTTTTGATTTCAGCGAGTCAAATCTTGTAAAGGCCTGCATATTTTTTTTAAGATTATATGAAGTCTGTGCAAAAGCTTTAAAAAAATGCCTCTGCCTTGCCTGCAATACATGCAATGTATGTTAGTCTCTATTTTCAGACAATGTTTTCTTTTCTTTTTTTTTTTTAATGTATTTATAGCAGTAATCCAAGAAGTTCTAACATTTACATGGAATTCAATGTGGCTGTTTAGTCTTTTATGAGTTAATGGCGTGGAACATGTTTTTGAAGTGTTCTCTTCTCCCATACATCAATACATCTGTGTGTTCCAGGGTTTGTTCAGGTGTCCCCCACCCCTTCCTAATCTTGTACATAACTTGTATTATGTGTAAGTTAAACATTTTATTTTGAACTTGGAATGTTCCCAGTGATTTCATTCAACAGGGTGGTTTCTGCCTTGTTAGAGAATGACAAAAAATTATCATGAGAAGTATTTGCTACCAAGTGGTAGCTGGTGCCCTTATGGTGGAATGAGGAATATCTCAGTAAAATGTTTTATTATTGTACTTCAAAAAAAAATAGCCTAAGTAGAGCATCATTGAAATCTTAAAACAGAGATGCTTTTATTAGATGATCAACTCCAATAGCTGGAAGACAGTACCTTAGAAACAGATAGATGTAAGTTTATAAAAATGCAAATGTAACTTATGTTTCTATCTCTTTCTCTGCTTTGTTTTGTTTTGTTCTGTTTTCTCGTCCTTAGAACTGAGCATCTCCAGAAATGTCTCCTACTCAGAAAACATTTCTTTTCCTCTCCATTAAGATTTGGCTGCATTCAGGGCTGCGTCAGCCTTGCCCGCTCATCTCACCAGTTTCATATTGCTTTTATTCCTGCACTTTGGTTATGCCTTTGTTCAGTTTCTTAAGAAATTACAGCAGACTCCCTGAGCTACATTTAGTAAAGGAGCCACATGTGTAATGTTATAGGATACAATCATCCTTAGAGTAAAAACTACCTCTAGATTGTGGTAAGCTTTTACTGTCCCATAAAACAGGAGCCACAAGTACCTTAATGAATGCAAAACTGTAACTTCGTGCAGCGTTCCCAGTGTCTTTCTGGTGTCTTGGATTGTTTAAAAGTTTCTATTAATAGACTTTTCAAGTCATTTGTGAGGAGCATGTTTTCCTGCTTTGCTCTCTTTATCGCTCATTCTTTTGCCTAGACTGTGCCACTGTAAATATTACTCCTAACATCTTTAAATTGCCTTTCCTTTGTTTTCAAGGGGATTGTCATCGGTAAAACACACGAGGTGGTTAGTTTCTGCGGTTTTTTCTTACTGCACGCCTTTGTAATCACCCCTGGCTACTCGATGCAGCCTTTTCATTCTTGTCCAGGCTGCTCTGGTCACTCGCTTCCTCCTTGTCAGGGTATCCTGCCTCTCACACTGTGAGTCCCATCCAGACCACCAGAACTCATTGTGGCCTTATCTTCCTTTGCGCAAGCTCCTCACTGGCTTTTCCTTACAGACTTGATTGTTTCTCAGTAGTAGTTCTCTGTCTTTACTAATGAATTAGTTCTTTTGTTCAGTGCAAAAATGTTTCCAGTGTTCTCTTAGAGGCCACACATTTCCTCTACTTCCAAAATCTAGAATTTAGTTAAGAAATTATTTTAGCCAATAACAAATGCTTGAAGAACAAATGATTCCTTACCCAGCTTTGTAGTTCCAAATGAATGTTTATTTTCTGGGCTTTATTAAAATGATTTTTTTTTTTGCTTTAAAGTAAGGTTTATATCGTACGTCGGTTATTTTGTTTCTTCTAATAAGACAATTTACTGTCAACCCATTTTCTGTTTTTGTTTTCTGCAAAGTTCAAGAATGTACTTCCATAGACATTTCCTCCACTGTTCTCATGCTACAGACTGAAGAATGAAATGGCTTGTCTGTTGTAGCTTGTTAACTGTAGTTCTTTTATTAGCTGCTTTGAAAAAGACAAAATACAAAAAAATGGTCCTTTCAGACTTTGGAATCATTTTCAATGGATGATTGATGGGATCCTGCCCTCCAGGTGTGCTGGGACACTGTCCTCCTGGTGCGGCATTGGTAGATGGCATGGTGGTGGTGGTGGTTTACCCCCGTAGACTCTTAGAATGGTTAAACTATGGTTAATTTTCTTTCTTTCTTTTTCTTTTTAATCTGTTTTCCAGGTGTATCTTATGCTGTTGCAATTCTATGCAGTTTCTTCCAATAGGCATACAACCCAATAAAGTTGCATTGAATTTATCACATTGGGAAGTAAGCTAAAGACTTTAAATGTAGAATGCCCTTGATATATCAAATGACTTCAGAGTTGAACACTAGTATATTTAACTTGCTGCTGACTTGCTTTAAACTGTGGCAACTAAATACATCCTTACAGAGAGCTAATTAGTGACATATTTGTTACCCTTTCAGTTCTGTATTTTGTGGTGATGGGGATTGAGCCCAGAGCCTCAAGCATTTTTTTAAAATCTTTAAAAAAATTTTTTGAGATACAATCTTGCTATGTAGTCCAGGCTAGCCTTGAACTCATAATCCTTATGTCTCTCAAGTGCTGCAATTTCAGGCCTATAACACCATGCCTAACACTGGTTTTGTTTTTAATGAGACTGGTACCACCTGTGCAATCACAGAAAATGTCCAATGCCATTTTGACTAATTAACTAGTCATATTAACCAGAAAGTCCACAGGTAGGGTTGCCTTTTTGAAGCAAAATGCTATTCAATTATTAACTAAGTTAACTTAACCTTATTTTCAAAAGCAGCTGTGTTTCTGATGAGTACTGAACAAATGTGTATAATTTTCTGTGCCAGACTTTTGACTTTGTTTTCAAGCACTGTATTTGGTATGGATGGTTAGAAATAATAATATATTAGGGTTTCTGTTTAACCCTTTCAGGACTGAACTGTATTTCCTTTGTTAATTCTCCCCTGTGTCGTGATAAATGTCTGCCAGCCTTCCGTACTGTGTTGATCCAGATGTAGGTTTATATGCTCATTTTTAGCTTATTTCTCGTACCTTGCAGCATGCTGTACGCATTCAGTCCTTAAGGGGTTTACTTTACAAACTGTGCGCCTGTAAGGTTTATTAGCAATAAGATAGAAAATTGAGCAAGTTTATACCATAATTTTGTAGAAAAAAAGGAATCTGCTCAGTTCCATATTTCATCCATGAAAAACCTGCAATACAGGCAGTTTCAAGGAATAAATAAAAAGGAAATGTAAACCATCGTAAAAGTCTTCTTTTGAGTGTGCCTGATGCATGTATTATCGTCTGATTTCAGAATACTTCATAAAGACAACATTAAATTCATTTCATTTTGTATCACACTCTTGCCTTCTGAATCACATCGTAGTAAAGATTTTGCTGGATTAATTTCCTTTTTGATTCCTCCACCTCCCTACCCCACCCCCCACATCCCCTGGAGCTTCAGGGTCAGACATTTTCCCTGGATGCTGTTGTTATTCCTCTTTAGCCACTCCTCCAAACCCATTGCTGATGTGTTTGTTGTTTTGCTAGTTCTGGGGCTTGAACTCAGAACCTCGGTACTGTCCCCCAGCCTCTTTGTGCTCAAGGTTAGTGCTCTACCACTTGAGCCACTTCTGACTTTTTCTGAGTTTATTGGAGATAAGAGTCTCACAGAGTTTTCTGTCTGGGCTGGTTTTGAACCACACTCCTCAGATCCTAGTCTCCTGAGTAGCTAGGATTACAGGTGTGAGCCACTGGCACCCAGCTTATTGTAACTTTTTAATGATTTTTTTTTCTTCCCTGCTAATGGATAATTGAGATTTGTTTCTCAAGGTGCTGTCTGCTAATTCAGAACCATTTAGAGTGAGCTCCACAAAACTGGACATTGCTCTTTAACAGCTTTTTCCATTAAAGGTGGTTATTTGGTCATATGCTCATTGGTATGCTACATACCATATGCGCATTGGGATACTAAGGAGCATATACTGTTTTGTTTTGGTTTTTTGGGTCGGTCATGGAGCCTGAACTCTGGGCCAGGGCACTGTTGCTTGAGTCACAACTACTTCCAGCTTTTTCTGCTTATGTGGTGTTGAAGAATCAAACCTAGGGCCTCCTGCATGCAAGACAAGCACTCTACCACTGAGCCACCTTCCCAGCCCCAGAGCATATACTGTTTTATGTCTTTTTTTAAAGTACAGAAGTGGGTACAGATTATACTTTGGATAATAGACAAATCTAAAGCAAGAAGTTAATGTGATTTAAAAAGTATTCAGTTGAGTTATTATCTACTCTCTAAGAACATAAGTGAAGTTATGAAGATCTTGTTAAACACATCTTGCTTGCCATAAAAGTACTCATTGTTAAGTAAAACAGTTTAGTTGCCATTTGAGTTGTGAGGCCTCTAAAGGTTTAGTTTGTCAGGGGGTAGTTAATATTTCCTAATGTAGAATAATAAGCTTGTTTTGCTTGCTATAGTGATCTCTTAGGCAATTTTACCAAAGGAACATTAAATATATTGTCCCTTTTTCTTATTGATCCCTGCAGCATCAAAAGCCATCTGTTTCCACATCTAGTAAAGTGAGCAGT